ATTGCAATGCCCCCTGTCTTTCCTTTGTTGCTCAGGATTACTTTTGCCATTCTCAGTCTCCTGCTTCCAGATGAACTTTAGGAATGCTTTCCCTAGATCTGTGTGGAATACTAATGATATTTTATTAGTATTGCATTACATTTGTGTAAAAGTTTTGGGAGTATGTCCATTTTCACACTGTTGGTTCTTCCTATCCAGGAGCAAAGAATATATCCATTTCCTAAAATCCCCTTTAAACTGTTTGTTCAGAAGACTGCCATTTTCACTGTACAGATCTTTTAATTTCTTTGTTTTATTCATTTCTAACTATGCAATTTTGTTTGGATGTTATCACAAAATGTGTAGTTTCCCTAATTGTTTTGTCCCTGAGTTTGTTGTTTGCATATAGAAATGCTATTAAGGGACTGGGGAGATAACTCAGTAGATTAGGTGCTTGCCTGTCATGTGCAAGGGCCTGAGTTCAATCCCTGCTTAAAAAAAAAAAAAAAAAAAAAAGGAAAAAAAAAGAGACAAAAAGTGGTATTGATTTTTCTAAATGATAAATCTTTTCTTTAATAATTATTTATTTTGAACATGGTCTCTTTTTCATTTTTTATTTTTTTCTGTAATTTTAGGGAAGGGTCTACAGGGTATTCAAGATCTCTATTAGATCAGACTCTTAATGACTCTTCTGTTTAGTGCCTCCCAAGTGCTAGGAAAAGAGGTGCATGTAAGCAGGTCCAGTCTCAATCACCATTTCAGTGTGCCCCTGCTGTGAGGCTGTCATGGCAGGACCAGAGATCAAACCCCTGATTCTGTGCCTGCTTGCAGGCACTTTAATCTGCTGAGCTATTTGGCCATCCCATTGCTATAGGGTTCCACTACTCAGCTCCAAATCAGAGTGATCTTCCTGACTTAGGGTCCCCAGTTCTTCGATTACAGGTATGGACCACCTGCACCCAGTTTTGGTGACCAGCATGGCATGCTGTGTGTTCCAGGGCTGGCATTGCCTACAGGTGCTTAGACCACTGAGCTGTCTTCCCAGCCCCTGCTATTGATTTTTGACTGCTGACTTTGTATCCTGCTATACTATTCCATTTGGTCACTAAATCTACAAATATCCTAGTGCACTTTTGGGAATCTATATAGGATAACATGTCATATTCAAATAATGATAATTTCACTTCTTCTTTTCCAATCATTACTCCTTTTATTTCTTTCTCTTGTCTAATTGCTCTAGGTAATGCTTCCTGAACTATTTTGAGGAAGAGTAATGACACTGGACATCTTTGTAGTAATATGTAATCATGTTCCTTAACTGATTTGCTCATTCTTGGTTTTAAGTTCCCATTGTCATCAACCCCAATGGTTAGCTCTGTTGATTTCTGGTTTCCTGTCACCTAGAGTATTGTTTGCCATCCTTTCACTTTCAGTCTATGAATTTCCATTTGAACTAACTGTGTTTCTTGTATGTTGCAGATTGTTGGATTTTTTTTTTTTCTTGATCTACTCTGCCAGTCAGATGCTCTTGATAGGTGAATTAAAGCCTTTTACATTGATGGTTATAAGAGATATGTATTGGATTATCTTTCTCAGATTCCTTTCCCTTTCTTTCCCTCTCTTTCATTACTTGCTCTGCTTGGTGGTTCTTTTCTATTTTTCTTGAATTTGTGCTCATTTTTATCTCTTGCTAGAATATCTGTCTATACGTTCTGTGAGATTAGTTTGGTGGTCTTGACTTTCTTCAGTTTTTCTTTAACATAGAAAAAATTTATTTCTCTATTGCATTTGATGGATACTTTGTTGGGAACATCCATCTGGGGTGGAACTTGTTTTCTTTCAGTCCTGAAATCCTTCCCTCAAAGTTCTTCTTGACTTGATGGACTGTGTTGAGAAATCTGCTGCGATTCTGATGGGCTTTCTAGTAGAGGAAATCTGTTTATTTCTGCTAACAGATTTTAATATTCTGCTCTTTTATGAATTTCTGGATTCATGGTAATTATGTGTCTACCTGAAGATTTGTTTTATAACTAATTTGGGTTGTATATGTCTCACTTAACTGTGTATCACATTCTTTCCCATAATTGGAGAACTTGTGCTCCTGCTGTTGCACATGGCCTTTTTATATCATGTGTGTTGACTCCTGCTTTTCCCTGACACCTGGCAGTGTCATAGCACTTTTCTTTGCATCATCTTGTTTTGATGAATTCTCATTTCTTCATTCCTTGTAATTTTAAGAGTTCTTTCCTCTCATAATTGCTAGCTGCAATGCAGTCTTCAAGGCCTGAATGTCTATCTTAAGTTTCATTCAAGCAGCTTTGCCAGCTTTCAGTGAAATTCTTAATTTTTTGGATATCTATCTAAATCTGTTTCATACATTCTGATAAATTCCCGTGCTGTAATTCAATGTTTGAATCATTTTTCTATTCACCTCTATTTTAGGTCTATGTCTTCTTCAGAAGGGTTGAGCAATTCCTGCATGACTGTTGACATTTTTTTTTTAACCAGAGAGATTATTTCCAATGTGATTTGTGCTACAGCCTGGTGGGGTGATTTCTTCACCTTAGTTACTATCATTTCAGAAATTTCAGGTATGTGCCTTCCTAATTCTTTATGTTCATCTCTCCTGGATTTGCTATCCAGGTGCTGGATGTGTGAGACTGCCTTTTGTTCCTTCATTTTGACATTTTCAAAACTCCCAAAGTTCACCTGGATTCAGGACCACTCAAGCTAGCAGCCGTCCAGGGCTGAGCTGAGCTTCCGGCTGAGCTTTTGCTCAGCAAAGCTCCCACTATACTTCAACATGCATAAATGCCCTCCATGAATGTTATCACAATTTATATCTAACATGTATCAATTATGTAAAAACAAATGTAAAGTTACAGTGACAAAATTAGATATGATTGAATGAATAAATTGCCAATGTCCTCCTCAAAAATAACATTCAATTCACAGAAAATCTATTTTTCCACATATATTTGCTAATAAACTGAAGTAAATTCAGGTCACATGAGCGTAACGATATGTAATGGAGTACCTATTGCTATTCTAGATTATGGAATTTTATTTTTTATAAAATGAAAATTAGCCATTTGAAAAACAGAGCAATATATATGAAAATAAAATTTAAATGCAAAGTAGAAAGGATGAGACCAGTCTGATGGTGTATGGCAGCTTCCCAGCACTCTGGAGGCTGAGGCAGGAGGATGGCTGGGATTTGGAGGCCAGCTTGGGTGCAAAGTGAGTTCAAGGCCAGCTGGAAATGCACAGCAAATACTGTCTCAAAAAAAAAAAAAAAAAAAAAAAAAAAAAAACCTTTTAAAAAGTACAAGTCAAGGACTTTCCAATCTAAATATGGTCAAGTGTGGTGGCGTATGCCTGAAATGCAGCACTCTGGCTAAAGCAGGAGGATTGCCCAGAATTTTCTTAAAACAGTGGAGTGTCTATTGAATTGTCTCTGGCTTCAGCACATCAGGGAATTCCCATCTTCTCACCTTTCTCCTGAGCGTGGAACCGGCTAAGCCATTCTTCTGTGGTAGCACCTTATTGCTGAGCACAGTGAGCTCACAGATAGGTCAGAGTTACCTTCCTCCAGCTGCCCAAACCCTGGTGAACCTGCAGCTCGGGCCTCCTGCACCTCCCTCTCTTCTGCCTCTTGGGCCTTGGCACCTTGGCTCAAGCTGGCTTGGGCCCTTACTCCACGAGCTGGCCACAGGGAATCGCGAGGGCGCTGCGCCTGGCCTGACCTGAAGATGAAAACCAGTATGGCGGTCCTGCTCTTTTCCAAGTCCTTCAGGAAAGCTTTAGAATATAAGTGGGGTGAAACCCTGGGCGCCCTGATCCTGGAGAAGAACCCAGGCCAAGTTCTTCTGCATCTTCCCACCTCGGGCCCTGTCCACACAGATCGCTCCCTCTGATTTCTTTGAAGCCACTTTCTAGATGATCAGGAGGAGCTCATCCCGAAGCCAGCTCACCTCCCTCCATGGACAGGCGGGCCTAGGATGAGAGGGCCAGCACCTTCGCGAAGGCTCACGTGGGGCATCAACTGGAGGCCTGAGCTGAGTCCCAGGGCAGCTCCTGTGTCAGCTGCATCAGGGCCTCAGCGCTAGGGGCCTCTAAGCCCAGGCCTTGGACCAAAAGCCTTTTGCAGCGAAAGAAAGATAAAAAGTAAAAGAGAAAGTAAGTGAGAAAGAGAGAGAGAGAGAGAGAGAGAGAGAGAGAGAGAGAGAGAGAGAGAGAGAAGAAAGAAAGAAAGGAAAAAAAAGAAAGAAAAGTAAGCAAGCACTTTAACTTTGACACCATAACTATTGCGAGGCTCCTGGTGCACAGTATCTGCAGAGACTTTAAGCTCCCTCCTTCAGTTCCTGGGGATCCTTGCTCCCGCTCCTTTCCAGTGCAGCAAAACTCGTCCCCGCAGGGTGGGGCCCCTGCCTCTTTCCAGAACCAAGTATGGGCAGGGCTAGCTGTGGTGCCCCGTGATGGCTCACTTTCCTCTGGACCTGGCGCCCCGCCGGGGGCTACAGACTTGTCCAGTGGACTTCCTGCCTCCCTTAGTGTGAGGATCCCCAACCCCGGGGCCAGGTCGCATGCTGCTCTAGGGAGGAAAGCAGTGTCACCAGGAATACTTAGGAGCTAGCAATTCCGAATAAAATAAAAATTCAAAGAGCCAGCCAGCAGACCTACAGAACACAGTGAGCACGGGACTAAAATACAGGGGCCACAGGTTGGAGGAACTCCGCGGGGAAATCTCTTTGTCCTGGCCAGTAGGAGCGATGGCTAGGTGTCTCATTAAGCAGGTTTTAGGGATCTTTTTCTGTGATGAGGCCTGAGGGTTCTCTGAGGACAGGGAGATACCTGCAGAGTCCTTGGGCCCCAGGGAGGCCAAGTCAGGAACTCCCAAGCCAAGAGCTGAGGCTGAGCTGAGGGTTCTCAGTGCACAAAGTGGCCGAGGAGAGGGAGCAGGTGCCCTTACCTGGAGGTGAGGTCTCAGCAGACTCCTCATAGAAGTTGACTTCCTGCAGTAGCAGCAGTGCCGGGTGGCGTGTGGACGTGCAGTTAGCGGTGTTTCTCGAGTGGCGGCAGTTCTCACTACAGCGCCAGGACGAGTCCGGTTCGTGTTCGTCCGCGGTGATCTCTCTCATCTCGCTCGGCTGAGGGAAATCGGGCTGAAGCGACTGAGTCCGCGATGGAGAGAGAAAAGGAACAGTTTCATAAGCTCTTTATTGGTGGCTTAAGTTTTGAAACAACAGAAGAAAGTCTGAGGAACTACTACGAGCAATGGGGAAAACTGACAGACTGTGTGGTTATGATGGATCCTGCAAGCAAACGATCAAGAGGATTTGGTTTTGTAACCTTCTCTTCCATGGCTGAGGTTGATGCTGCCATGGCTGCAAGACCTCATTCAATTGATGGGAGAGTGGTTGAACCAAAACGTGCTGTAGCAAGAGAGGAGTCCGTCAAACCAGGGGCTCATGTGACTGTGAAGAAACTGTTTGTTGGTGTAATTAAAGAAGATACTGAGGAGCATCATCTTAGAGATTACTTTGAAGAATATGGAAAGATTGATACCATTGAGATAATTACTGATAGGCAGTCTGGGAAAAAAAGAGGCTTTGGTTTTGTTACTTTTGATGACCATGATCCTGTGGATAAAATTGTGTTGCAAAAATACCACACAATTAATGGTCATAATGCTGAAGTAAGAAAGGCCTTGTCTAGACAAGAAATGCAGGAAGTCCAAAGTTCAAGGAGTGGAAGAGGAGGGAACTTTGGTTTTAGGGATTCACGTGGTGGTGGTTGGAATTTTGGACCAGGACCAGGAAGTAACTTTAGAGGAGGATCTGATGGATATGGAAGTGGACATGGATTTGGCGATGGCTATGATGGGTATGGAGGAGGACCTGGAGGTGGAAATTTTGGAGGGAGCCCTGGTTATGGAGGAGAAAGAGGAGGTTATGGTGGTGGAAGACCTGGATATGGAAACCAGGGTGGGGGATATGGAGGCGGTTATGACAATTATGGAGGAGAAAATTATGGAAGTGGAAATTATAATGATTTTGGAAATTATAACCAGCAACCTTCTAACTATGGTCCAATGAAGAGTGGAAACTTTGTTGGTAGCAGGAATATGGGGGGACCATATGGTGGAGGAAATTATGGTCCAGGAGGCAGTGGAGGAAGTGGGGGTTATGGTGGAAGGAGCCGATACTGAGCTTCTTCCTATTTGCCATGGGCTTCACTGTATAAATAGGCGAGGATGAGAGCCCAGAGGTAACAGAACAGCTTCAGGTTATCGAAATAACAATGTTAAGGAAACTCTTATCTCAGTCATGCATAAATATGCAGTGATATGGCAAAAGACACCAGAGCAGATGCAGAGAGCCATTTTGTGAATGGATTGGATTATTTAATAACATTACCTTACTGTGGAGGAAGGATTGTAAAAATGCCTTTGAGACAGTTTCTTAGCTTTTTAATTGTTGTTTCTTTCTAGTGGTCTTTGTAAGAGTGTAGAAGCATTCCTTCTTTGATAATGTTAAATTTGTAAGTTTTAGGTGGCATGTGAAACCTTTTTAAAGATTTTTCTCAAAGTTTTGAAAAGCTATTAGCCAGGATCATGGTGTAATAAGACATAACGTTTTTCCTTTAAAAAATTTAAGTGCATGTGTAGAGATAAGAAGCTGTTGTACATTTATGATTTAATAAAATAATTCTAAAGGAAAAGAAAAAAAAAGAAGTTGACTTGCTGAGAAGATGGTTGCCGAGGAGGACTCCTGGGAGGGAAGCAGGGCGACCCAGGACCAGGAGTCCCGGCTGTGCCACTGCCCTTCTTGCACCAAAACCTTCCTGTCCCCCACAAGATACAAAGCAAGAAAATCCAGGCCCCTCTTTCTTTTCTTCTCTCTTTCCTTCTTCCTCTCTAGAAACCCACCTGTATGTTCCCAGGACAGAGGTGTTCCTAAATCACCATGCTGTCTAACATCCTGGGACACACACTGCAGAGGACCTCAGAGCCCAGTGTTGGCCATTTTCAACCTAAGTCACCTTTAAACTCTGAAAGAAAATTGTGTTCAGCTCAACAAAACAGAAACTTCCTACCATGAATTCAAACAGAAAGCTCCCACTGAGATTTGAACTCAGATTGCTGGATTCAGAGTCCAGAGTGCTCACCATTACACCAAGGAACTTATAAAAGAGTCTAGCCTGTCACAACAAGTAAGTAAAGAAGTGGAGCATGACAGTGTGCTCGCCAATTGCCCCTAGGCATTTAATGACCTCACACCCACTTGGGGATGGAGGCAGGGCAGGAGCTCTGCAGGCCTCATTTGACACCCAGTGCTCCCACTCCTTTGACCACATATTCGTATGGGACAGGTGTGCAAAGTACAGCATCCTGTTCCTTCTCCTGCCCTTCCCCCATTTCCCACTGCCCACCAGACCCAGAATCCTCAAGGCAGACCTGGGGGCTCCTGGCTTCCTTGGTTGCAGCCTCTCTGCTTCATTCCTGGCACCCAACCTGAACTGGTGGAAAGACCTGGCAGCCAGGAAGGAAGATTGGTTTTGTTTCTTCTTTTTGCTATGTTTGGTTAGAGTGCTTCTGATCAAAGATATTGTTCATGGAATTAAAATGAAAAAGAATCAACCACGTTGAATATTTACATAAAACACTCAAGTCAGACTATAAAATCTTGCCTGTTCAGTTGCTCCTCAGCCCAAATATCATTTATTTGGCAACACATCCCATGCAAATGTAACAAATAAAATCAGCATCATTAGAGTTAAATCTGTTTTTATAAGGACAAAGAATCAGTTCTTTTGAGCTAGTATGGCAGCCAGGTGGAACTTCCATAGTGATTTAATTTAGAAATCTAGTGGCATAAGCATCTAGCTGGCAAGTACAAGGTCCCGAGTTTGATTCCCAGACTGGAAAATCCAAACAAGAAAAACAAGATTATACAAAGAAGTTGATTTTGGAACATTTCTAAAATGAATAAAGCTTTAAAATGCTTTAGTAGCCAAGGCTGTTGGTACAGTCTTGCAACCTCAGCAGTCTGAAGGCTGAGGCAGGATGATTGCCACAATTTTGAGCCCAGCCAGAGTTACATAGTGAGTTCAAGACCAGCTTACATAGCGTGAATCTGTCTTTAAAAGGAAAATAAATATTCTAAAAGAGTCCAGTAGTCCATAATAATTGGGTCTACTGGACTCTATTAGAATATTTTGCTGAATTAACACACCTATAATATTCAGATAATAGAACTTCACAAAAAAGGGGGCACAGATGAATGTCCATTTTGTATCTGTGTATTCCAAATCGTTAGGATGGTTGTATAGTTACATTCTCTTAGTGAATGGAGGGATTTGTTCTAATAGTGTTTGTAAATAGGATATCATGTCTACATCTAGCACAGCAATTGACCACTGGGAAGAATATATGCAATGTGTTAATTGTTGAAACTGTCCTACCAATTTTGTTTGAAACTGTCTTATTACTATTTGTTTCTCAGTAGAATTATGGAAAAAAAGAAAAAAAGTCCTAGATTACAGTGAAGAATGTGGCACAGTGATAGCACCTCTGTACCATGCACAAAAGCCTAGTGCTCCAATCTCAAGCACTATGACAACCCAAACAAAAGTTGCTGTACTTTAGGTGTGAACATATTGTGTACAACAGGTTGCCTGCTAGAAAGTTATAAAGAAATGGCTGAGTGGGTCACACCTGTAAGCCAAGATATTTTTTGTGGGTTATAGGAGATAGGATCGCAACATATAGTTCAAGCTGACTTGGAACTCAGTGTAGAGCCCACACTGGCCTCAGACTTATAGAAATCCTTCTGCTCAGCCTGTCACCTGCTAGGATTATAGGAATGTGCCACCACACTAGGGAACCATGAATTTCTAAAGCTGAGGCAGTAAGGTCCCAAGTTCTTGGTGAACCTCACCCACAAAGCAAGACACTGTCTTTTAAAATAAGAAGGCCTGGTACAGTGGTACAGGGCTATAATCTCAGCTGCTCAAGAGGGTGAAGCAGGAGGGCAGCAGGTTTGAGCTCAGCCTAGATAATTTATTTCTTTATTCATTTTTGTATTTAGGGCACTGTGTACATGGTCTGCAGGTTCTCACTGTGTACATTGGATTACTAGTGATCCTCCTGTTTATAGCTTTCCTAATGCTGGGATTACAGGAATGATTCACCAAGCCCCATTTTAATCCATATCTCAGCCAGCCCCTGGTTTGGGGCCAGTACAGCAGGCCCAGAGATCCTGGCCCCTGTGGACCCTGTGGCCCCTGCATCTGCCTAAACATTTGCTTTAATCTGCTGATCTATTTGGCTGGTCCCAGCCTAAATAATTTAGCAAGACCCTGTCTCAAAAAATAAAAAAAGACAGGAGATGGGAAACAGTTAAATCAGTTGCACCCCAGGTTCATCCTCTAGTACTCGATAGTTCATTAACTAATTAAAAAGAACTTCTATAGTAAGACAGAACATATCTTGGTATGGGAGAAAATGTTCAATTAAAGAGAAAATAGGAGGCTAGTATGTTGGCCCAGGCCTGCAGTCTTACCAATATGGGAGGCTGAGGCAAGACATCATTTTGGAAACAGCCAGAGCATTTGCCCAACTTAGTCAGACCCTGTTTCAAAATGCAATAAGAAAAGGAGGAGGGCTAGAGAGGTAGTTGAGGGTGAAAGCCTCGTACCAACACAGACACCACCTGGAGGAAGAGAGGGAGGGAGTGAGGGAAGGAGAATCAAGAAAAAGGATGGAAGGGGACCTGCCCCTTAGCTCAGCTCTTTAAGTGGCTTCTTCAGCAAAGCAGTCAGGTTCAGGTTGCTGTGGTTCAATCCCCACAACTCAAGGAAGCCAA